TTGCCTACCCAAAACTCCTTCCCCCTTCTTGTGGCTGAACACAAAAACAAGCAAACGAACAAACAAAAACTCCTCAACCTCATATTATTCCACTGGTATTCTCAGTCACACAGTCGTAACTCCCCAACTTCAGAGGTAGTCCAGTGACTAGTTGCGGGTAGGGAGATATAAAAAATGGCTGATCAGAGGGGATAGCTATGGACTCTGAGGGAGAGACTGTTCTTCTTTATTTACTAGCTATAAAAATGTAAACCTAGCTTTATCACTACATAGAGGAAATAGAGCTGAAACATGGAAAGAGACAGAATCTAGTCCCTATGACATCATCTAAAACCTTCGATACTGCCATGCCTAAAACTAATGCTACAACTTGGCATTCATAGTTATTCGGGCCAATAAATTCCCTACCCCTGCCCCCTTTTTGTTGCTTAAGCTCATCTTGAGTTGGTGCTGTGGCTGCAACTGCAAGCTTTGAAAGTTGTATTCAATTTCATAGAGGGAAAATATATATTTTCACTCCTTTATAAAATAAAGCACTAAATGATGTAGAATCACAGATTTTTAGATATGGAATTTTTTTTAAAATTATATCCCATCACCAAGAACAGCACCTAGCACGTGACAGGGCTCAAGTATTATTTTTTTAATGAGCTAAGAGATCACAGTGATCATCTAATCCAGCCATCTCATGTGATAGGTAGCAAGTTGAGTTCCAAAGAGGTTAAGTCACAAAGCATGTTGGTAGCAGAGCCAAGACACCTGCTCTGGTTGGGCTTAGGGCTCTATTAACAGCACTTTTCACTATATGTACTAACATGAAGAAACTGTCACTTGTTAAAACCAAAAGATAGTAAAACCTACTACTTTTCATTTACTTCCCAAAACTAAGCCTAAAATTCTCACTCTACTGCAGCAGCTTAGCTAAATAAGACACAGGACATTACCGTTACAGAAGCCTCAAGGCTCTGGCACTTACCTCTGAGGTACACACCACAGTGTAGTTACTATGCTCACTGTCACAGTCTCTAAACTTTTCCTGTGGGAGCTAAGCTAACAAAGTGCCTTCATCCCATCTCCCATTCTATATTCATCCCAATAAGCCATCATAATAGTCTTATCATCTCTGTAATTCAGATCATTAAAGTTTAACTATATCTTAAATTCAAACTAGATTCTCTATATAATGCATATTCCTTTGTTTGGAAATCCTAGGATCCATATTTTTTATCTTGGCATTTTGCCATCTTACAAGTCTATTTATTAAAAGTTGAGAAACTTAAATTTTCACCTCATCAGCAATCACTTTAACAATCTTTGATTTGCCTGTTTAGTCACTAGCAGAATAGAGTAAAAGAAAAACTTAAGTCTCTAAAATGCATTAGTACTCCATAAATTTTTATTGATACCAATCTCTATAAAAGCAGACTTTTTTTTGTAAGTAAACTCCCAACTCAGTTCCTCAATCGGTTTTGCCAAGTGAAGTGCTAATATTCAGAAGTCAAGCTGCTTTCATAAAAGTTAGCAGATACAGAAGTTTACTATTATGATCTTGAAGATCATGCCTGTTAAATTTAAGAACACAATTTACTCCACAAGAATAAAGTAATTGTATAATACATAGCATGAACCTCCATAATTAAGCTTTGTTCAAAATGCAGCCCAAAGAATTTGAAACACTCTGCGAGTTTTTGCTCTTCAAATTAATACCAGAAGACACAAATTTGAAGAGTGTCTTACTTCTCATATCCAAACTACAAACTCATTTCTCTTTACACCTTAAAACATCATTCACAATTCATCCTTAAATCAGGAGCATTTGTAGAAACAGTTTTTCTTAAATACTCACATTCCTCTTTAAATCTAGTTATTATTAAATAACTCAAGGAAAATGAAAAGCCAAACAATGTAAATCATTGAAGTCTTACTGTACACTTTTACAAACTTCCAACTAGCATTGAAAGAATTACCTATCATTGTACTTGATCTGCATTTACTTAAACACTTTGTACAAAGGGGCTGGGCTGCAGTTGAGTCAAATCCTTTTCCGTTAGATGAATTACCATATTTCTCGATGATGACGCACTAGACAGTAAACTTCTATTCAGGGCATTCCTGTCCTAGTAAAATTTATTATGCACAGGTTTCCATAGTTGCAATGATTTCAAACAAGTACCCAAAATTACACGAAGAAAAATGTTTAAAAACAGGAAAAATAATCCTTCATTAGATTTCACAGTACAATACTGGTTCTACTGTTAAATAAAAGCAATTCACCCGCTCCTAAGAAAAAACAGCAATAAGATAAACAAAATTTGAATTTATAACTCAATCTGCATACATTAGTTCCTGCCTGGGTAATTTAAAAGCTGCATGACATTAATCACTGAACTACAACTTCAGGTATGGAAAACGTGAAGTTCAACTTTCACATTTTACATTGTAACAGAACTCAGAACAGTAGTTAACTGACTTTCCCAAGGTCACACAGACTGTATGCTAGCTAAGACTCCTGACTCTCCCCAAGACCTGTCCAGTGCTATTTCCACTGCTAAATACAATTCACTTTGGATGTATTAATTATACATTATTTTCTTCCCAACATCCAAAATAATACTATTGGCTTAATATTTAATGTTTTCAAAAACAACTTTTGTAAACTGGTTAAAGTATCTTTCCAAGACACTTAATGTAAGACATTTCATGCTACTGCATAAAAACTCGAGCAAATTTTTGGCAAAAGAAATACACTGATCCAATGCATCTAAATATCAGTTATAAGAGTCCAATATTCCAATTGTGTTTTCAATTTCCACAATGGAGTTAGCTTTGAACTGAAACTTCCTAAGAAAAAATGCACTTTCTTTATTCACACTTTCAAGTTGCATTTTGAATACTCCAAATATTCAGGAACAGAAGTAGAAAGCAATATCTAGCCATAATAAAACTATTTTTGGGAATTCCCTGGGTCCAGTGGTTAGGACTCTATGCTTCCACTGCAGGGGGACACGGGTTCGATCCCTCATCAGGGAACTAAGATCCCACATGCAGAGCAGTGCAGCCAAAAAAATAAATATTATAAATAAAAATAAAATTTCACTTAAAAAATAAACTATTTTATTTAGAGGAAGAAGAAGCTCCTTTTTAAAATGTGTTGCAACATTATCGTATTTGTAAACTCTAACACCGGGGATTACTGACCAGAATTTTTTACATTAAAATGCAAACAAGAGCTAAAAGACTTCTAATTTCCCTCTTATTAAAGGTGAAAAACATTTTAATCTAATATTAGAATATATGTGCACTATTTCGTAAATTTCGGGTTAAGTTTGCTTTAAAAAAAAAATCACAATTAGAATGTGTTAAATGTTTAAAGAACATCCAGTCATTAAAACAGCTTAAGCGCACCAAAAAGGGCAAAAACGTTTCCTTTGCTTTGTTTCCTTAGTTTCCATCCAGCTGAAGCTGAGTTGCCACTTGCTGTGGATAAAACGATTTTCACATTCCTTCTGCCTCCATCTAAGCTTTCTGATGAGAGAAACAAGAATCTAGGAACGTGTGTTTGATGCAGTCCTGAGTTCAGTTCTTTTTGTGGAACGAATTGGGAACACACTGCCCATGAAGAACTGAGGTGATTTTAAGATTTCGTTTTACTTGTAAGTAGGCGTGTGCGAACACCTGCCAACGCATTTTATTTTTAACCGAAGAGCTAAACACTATACTAAGCAATCATCAGGAAACTGGGGAGCAAAGCGTGCGCGCCAGGCCTGCCAAGAGTAAAAAATTTTTAATTAAACCTTCAGGGGAACTGGGCGGTGAGCCCCAGAGCTTAATTTGTCACTTAGCGGCGGCTCTCCTCAGGACCCAGGCGAAGAGAGCCCTGGGCGGAACCAATGCCACCATCCCGTGATTGTGACCAGCGCGCGGATGCTGCGGGCAGGGGGCTGAAGGGAGCGGGTCGTCAGACGCCGGCCAGCCGCCCGAGGAGTGAAAACTAACAAAGGGCTAATCGCGCACCAGAGCCCCCCGGAGCGGAAGCAACGCCTCCCCGCCGCCCCCGCCCCGCGACCCTCCCCAAGTTCGGGCCGGCAGAGGACTCGCTGCGGGGCCTGCGGCCAGGCCGGGACCGGATCCGCGGTCGGGTTGCTGGAAACAGGTAGGGCGAAGAATAAAAGCCCCAAAGAGAAGAGCCGGCGCTTCCCGCAGCGAAAAGGGAAAACGAGGAGGGCGGGAGGCCCCGAGGCCGAGTCCCTGCCGCTGGGCCCTGCTTCCCGGGGAGCCGCCAGGCACGGCGGTCGGGGCGCCGCGCTTTGTTACCGGCTGTGAGAAGCTCCGGCCGCCGCCACCGCCGCCACCGCCGCCGCTATCGCCCCCGCCCCGGGGCGTCGCTTCCCGGCGGTTCTCGCCTTCCTCGGCCGAGTAGTCGATCTCCCCCTCCTCAGTCTTGAGGCGCTTGGCTTGGCTCTCGTACTCCCGATCCTCCTCGTACGTCTCCCTGGGGGAGGATGAAGAAGAGGACATGGCGGCGGCCGGAGGGACCGGCCGGCTAACGGGTGGGGGTGGCGGCGGGGCGCGGGCCTCGGACGCCGCCGGCCAGTCCCCGTCGCGGGCAGCGCCTCTTCAGCGAAGGTCTGCGCGGCCCGTCTGTCCGCGTGGGCCGCGCGCCCAGAAGCCGGGTGGGTGCGGAGAGTGCGCGGGATGAGGAGGGCGCCCCGGGAGGAGGCTCCGGAGCGGCCGCTCCCCTTTATCACGGAGCCAACATTCAGCCTCTCCCTCCTCCTCCGTCTCCGCTCCCAGTCTCGGGGAGCAAATCTAAGGATGGGGACTCGACCGTGGCTTCCGGTCTTCCCTCCTCCCCTAATCCACTCCTCGCCGCCCAGGCCGAGCCTCCACCCCCACCTTCGCGGCCGCCGGGCAGGATCGAATCCAGCCTCAGCCCGCGGGAAGCGCCCCCCCCCCAAGCCCGGGCCTCGCTCCCTATTGGCAGAGAGAAAAGTCGACCAGGCTTCCAATTGGCTGCAAGGGCTGTTCGTCAAAAGCCGCCCACGGCCCGGCCTCGCCCCTCTCCCTGCACCTTCCGAACTCTCAGCTGGTTTGCTAGTCCTGACCGCTCAATGCCCGCAGCGTCCGGATCTGGAGCCGTGGCTACCCGACGGCCATTAGCGCTGTTGGGCCAACTGGAGGTGAGGCGCGGAGTGAACCCCGGCGGACTAGGAGGCGTGCGGTGGGTCCAGGACTGCGGTGTTAACCGCCCTCCCGTTAATTTAAATGCTTTTATTACTTCTCTTCAAAAGAGAAAATCCCTGCAGAGACATCTCGCAGCCCTGAAACTACAGGCTGTGAGGGGAAAAAGGGATTAGAATCGTGAAAGTAGCCTTCTCCCTATGTTGTGTGAAAAATCTGATACAAGTGGATGGACTCTCTCCCCGCCCCTAAGTAGATATTACAGAACACTCAACATTTACTGAGGTGCAAGTGTGAAGAAAGCCGCTCGTTTGATCGGTTAGCACTCGGGTCTTCTGGACCCTTCTTTCCTGACAATTACGGGAGACTTGTATCAAGTCCCAGCTCCCATTAAATGTGTTTTAAACCTTCCACATAAAGTTTCTTCCTGCATGCCAACCCCTTCCTTTCTAGGCGATCTATTTATTTCACACCATTTATTTTTGAAAGATATGAAAACCTATCAAAAGTGTTTGTCCTTTGGACCACACACAGCTCATTTCCTCTGTGGAGCCCTGAGGCCTCCGCGAGCTTCTAGTTACTGCCCTCTTTTTGCAACAGGGCCCTTTATACCCACCTACTAGGATGTTCTTTTTTTCAAGACTAGAAGCGTTTGGAGACAGGAACTGTGTGTGCTCTTTTCATCTTTGCAAACCCAGTTCCTGTACAGTCCCGGGCGCAAGTTCCCTGCTCAACAAGGCTGAACGAGTGGGCCTTGGGAAATAAAGGTCCAGTGTCAGAAGAGGAACTGGCAGATCTCATGCAACCTAGCTGCCCTCTGTGACTCTAACCCTTGGAGGATTGCCGAGGATCAAGAGTCACTTAAGTGTTTCTAATGTCCTTGTCCCTCAGATGCGTCCCTAAGTGTGGCTCTTCCTTTCCTAATGGGGTGGATTTTTCCCTCCCCCAGCCTATTGTCGCTTCTTTCCAAAGCTATTTCCTCCCCCCCAAAAAGCCATTTGTATTTATTGCTGACAGTGCTTTAACCTACGTTTGTTTTGTTACTTTTATAATTTACACTGCCTGTCGTTTCGGAATCCATTTGCAAGCTTCTTTACAACACCATACAGCTATAATCAAATTCGTGTGCGCCTGCAGGTGTACACTGACAAAATAGAACTAAAAAACAACTCGAATTTTATTTTTCTAAATTATGATAAAATGGAAGTAGAAGTATCAAAGAGGGAGCTGCAGAGCTGGGTGCAGATGAGGAAATGTTTCCAGAGCACTGGGAGCAGTGAGCAGAGCTGAACGGCCTTGTACAAACTTCCCAAATATTTTGTGTGATAGTGAAAATATTTAAAATTCTCAAAGCCTGCAACCAACCTATGGATTATACCAGGTTAAAATGCAGCTCTCGCACCAATCAATTGGTAAGGAAGCCCAGCCTTGCTGAACCTTGCTACTATACTCAGCGTTTACTTCACTAAAAGTAGGTTAGAGTCAATACGTACTAGTATTAAACTTAATTCTTTTTTCGGACAGCTCAAATCAAATTGTTAATTTAAAAGACTAAGAAGTAAAACTCAGGAAGCTTGTTTAAAACTCATCCGTTAGTACAGTGACCTTTGAGCTTATTGCAGATGAATTGTTCAGTGACAGTAATTTCTTAGATATGGAAAAGGCTAACTAGCTCATCACTAAAACATGAGAAGAGCTAAATAAGGAGGGCATAAATTATATTCTGCACGATTTAACTTAGATGAGATCAAGAAATTACACACTTCCCAGTTAGCCAGAAATGCCTTTAAAACTCAGAAACAGCTCCTAAATGCGTGCAAATAATCAGTTACTTAGCTCAACCTGGAATCTCTTTTTTGCACTACTGTACATACAGCCTCAGGCCTTTGGTAAATTGTCTGAATGCTTGATTGGATTGGCTGCTGTTGATTGGGGTAGGCAATCAGCCATGAATTCCCATTGACGCAGCAGCTCGAAGGGGACTTAGGGGTTATACTAGAGTGAGAGAGAGCTCCAGCGAAGGTCTAGGGAAACTGATAGTCAAGGTCCTTTATAATCTAGCCCCAAATTGCCCTTCAGTTTTAAACCTCATTGCTGACCTATGTAAAGTAATTTATAAGACATTGTGCTGGGCGATGAAGAGACTAGAAAAATATATGAGCTGGCTTCTGTCTTCTTTTTTTAAATTAATTAATTTATTTTTATTCTTGGCTGCGTTGGGTCTTGGTTGCTGCGCGCGGGCTTGCGCGCGGGCTTTCTCTAGTTTCAGCAAGCGGGGCTACTTCTTAGTTGCTCCGCGGCATGTGGGATCTTCCCCGACCACGGCTCGAACCCGTGTCCCCTGCATTGACACGCGGATTCTTAACCACTGCACCACCAGGGAAGTCCCTGGTATCTGTCTTCTCAAAGCTTGCCATCAGGTTGAGGAAACAGGGCACATACCCAAGAGAGGCTACAAGGCACATCTAACATACATGTAATAACAGCAGCCACTTACAATGTGCCAGGCACTGTGCTAACCACTGCAAGTGTCATGTCAATAAATTCTGACAAAAGCCAGAGGCATTATTATTACTATGGCCGTTGTACAATTATAGAAAGTCTAGGAGAAGTTAAGAGACCTGCCCTAGAGCCACAGTTAGTAAACTAGAGAGCCAGGACTGGAACCCAAGCGTCCGATTCCAGAGCCAGTACTCTTCGTAGAGAAGAATGATGATTTAAGTATTGCATTGCTTACTGCCACGGACATACAGATCAAATTTAGAATCATTTATCATGATACTTATTCATTCATTAATTTCTACTAGAGCTTATACAGCTGTAACTCTGGGAAGGCATAAATAGGTTATAATTATCAGTTTTTTCGTTGGTATAATGAAATTCAATTAGCTTCCATAGGAAATTTTAAATATAATACACTGTTTTAGTGTTCATTTTAAAATGTAATTTCTATAGACAAGGCGCAGAAATAAAAAGGAAATTCTCACCATTTTCTGATGGATGCATCGTTTGAACAACTAGAGATGCAAATTATAAGATATTCATACCCAAACTCAATTTCCAATATTGCTATTTCACTTAATATACAAAACTTTTGTTTCCTGCCTCACCTTCTGCAAAAATCAAATAAAACCTTCAGCTTACTTGTGAGCAATATTTCCAAAGGATTGGAACCCTAGAGATGTATTTTAATTAAGACATGTTTAACATGAAAGAACAAAGTCCATTCAGAGACAAATCAATTAGTTCCTATGAAAGTTTGTCAAATCCAGAATATACTATTTGTGATGATACCACTTTCCTTGTTAGAGATCACCAAGAACGAGCACTATGGTGCTTTTACCCAAACTAGCCCCTTTAATTCAGTCCACATTTGATTAGTTATGGTGATAAGACACCAGCGTTCCAGGAGGATGCACCCTGCAGGAAGTGCCTCAAGCACTATTAGCTCACTGTGTAGTCAAGTGTAACCACAATGGTATTCTCTTTCAGATGCTGTTATCAGGCACATCTGCTTTGGGTCTGGAGCTGCCACTGTGTTTGGCCTCTTCAAAAAAATAATAATTTGTGACAGATCTGCAAAAATAAATATATTGACCCTAGAAGGATATCTGGTATATGACCAGACAATGACAGGTAAAATTCATATTCTTGTTATCAGTTATAACCACTTACCTTTAGTCTTAGAAATAATATTTATTTTCACCTTTCTCTTTGACTCATATAAATTGATAGTGTTTAGACATCTTTAAAAATAATTGTAATAAATAAAAAGAGTAAAATCATAGCATCCACTGTTTAGAGTAAATAGAATTTATCAAAGTAAATTCATCTTGCATATGAAAATATAGGTAAAATTAACCGGTAGCTGCTCAAATGTTTAACAAAAACGTATTAAGTGCTACAGACCACTCCCAATTATAAGTGATCAGTAGCATGTAATAACTTTGTTAATTATGAGCTCTCAGTTCTCCTTTTCTTTTTAAATTTGAGTAAAAAAATATCTTGGGTATGGCCCACCCCACCCCATCAAGGAAGTTTCCATGGTAAGCAAGTCACTAATAACCTCATCCTTGCCTGATTGTCGATGTTGAGACCAGTATAAAAATGGCAAGGAATGCTAACGATAACACATAAACTAGGGGGTTTATTTTTTATTTTTAAAATTAAAAAAATTTTTTTGGCCATGCCATGTGGCATGTGGGACCTTATTTCCTGGACTAGGGATCGAACCCTTGCCCCCTGCAGTGGAACCTCAGAGTCTTAACCACTGGACCGCCAGGGAACTCCCTAAACTAGGTTGTTTAGACCTCAGTTGTTATTTTTTTTCCACAATTATTATTATTATTTTTAACATCTTTATTGGAGTATAATTGCTTTACATTGTTGTATTAGTTTCTGCTGTATAACGAAGTGAATCAGCTGTACGTATACATATATCCCCATATCCCCTCCCTCTTGCGTCTCCTTCCCACCCTCCCTATTCCACACCTCTAGGTGGTCACAAAGTACAAAGCTGATCTCCCTGTGCCATGCGGCTGCTTCCCACTAGCTATTTTACATTTGGTAGTGTATATATATCAATGCCACTCTCTCCTTCCCAGCTTACCCTTCCCCCTTCCCATGTCCTCAGGTCCATTCTCTATGTTTGTGTCTTTATTCCTGTCCTGCCCCTAGGTTCTACAGAACTATTTTTTTTTTAGATTTCGTATATATGTGTTAGCATACGATATATGTTTTCGTCTTTCTGACTTACTTCACTCTGTATGTCAGACTCTAGGTCCATCCGCCTCACTACAAATAACTCAATTTCATTTCTTTTTATGACTGAGTAATACCCCATTGTATATATGTACCACATCTTCTTTATCCATTCATCTGTCGATGGACACTTAGGTTGCTTCCATGTCCTGGCTACAGTAAATAGTGCTACAGTGAACATTGTGGTACATGACTCTTTTTGAATTATGGTTTTGCCAGGGGATATGCCCAGTAGTGGGATTACTGGGTCGTATGGTAGTTTTATTTTTAGTTTTTTAAGGAACCTCCATACTGTTTTCCATAGTGGCTGTACCAATTCACATTCCCACCAACAGTGCAAGAGGGTTCCCTTTTCTGCACACCCTCTCCAGCATTTAATGTCTGTAGATTTTTTGATGATGGCCATTCTGACTGGTGTGAGATGATACCTCATTGTAGTTTTGATTTGCATTTCTCTAATGATTAGTGATGTTGAGCATCCTTTCATGTGTTTGTTGGCTATCTGTATATCTTCTTTGGAGAAATGTCTGTTTAGGTCTTCTGCCCGTTTTTGGATTGGGTTGTTTGTTTTTTTGATATTGAACTGCATGAGCTGCTTGTATATTTGGGAGATTAATCCTTTGTCAGTTGCTTCGTTTGCGAATATTTTCTCCCATTCTGCAGGTTGTCTTTTTGTCTTGTTTATGGTTTCCTTTGCTGTGCAAAAGCTTTGAAGTTTCATTAGGTCCCATTTGTTTATCTTTGTTTTTATTTCCATTACTCTAGGAGGTGGGTCAAAAAGGATCTTGCTGTGATTTATGTCATAGAGTGTTCTGCCTATGTTTTCCTCTAAGAATTTGATAGTGTCTGGCCTTACATTTTGGTCTTTAATCCATTTTGAGTTTATTTTTGTGTACGGTGTTAGGGAGTGTTCTAATTTCATTCTTTTACATGTAGCTGTTCACCACTTATTGAAGAGGTCGTCTTTTCTCCATTGTATACTCTTGCTTCCTTTATCAAAGATAAGGTGACCATATGTGCGTGGGTTTATCTCTGGGCTTTCTATCCTGTTCCATTGATCTGTATTTCTGTTTTTGTTCCAGTACCATACTGTCTTGATTACTGTAGCTTTGTAGTGTAGTCTGAAGTCCAGGAGCTTGATTCCTCCAGCTCCGTTTTTCGTTCTCAAGATTGCTTTGGCTATTTGGGATCTTTTTTGTTTCCATACACATTGCAAAATATTTTGTTCTAGTTCTGGGAAAAATGCCATTGGTAGTTTGATAGGGATTGCATGGAATCTGTAGATTGATTTGGGTAGTATAGTCATTTTCACAATATTGATTCTTCCAATCCAAGAACATGGTATATCTCTCCATCTGTTTGTTTCATCTTTAATTTCTTTCATCAGTGTCTTATAGTTTTTTGCATACAGGTCTTTTGTCTCCTTAGGTAGGTTTATTCCTAGGTATTTAATTCTTTTTGTTGCAATGGTAAATGGGAGTGTTTCCTTAATTTCTCTTTCAGATGATTCATCATTAATGTATAGGAATGCAAGAGATTTCTGTGCATTTATTTTGTATCCTGCTACTTTACCAAATTCATTGATTAGCTCTAACAGTTTTCTGGTAGCATCTGTAGGATTCTCTATGTATAGTATCATGTCATCTGCAAACAGTGACAGTTTTACTTCTACTTTTCTGCTTTGGATTCCTTTTATTTCTTTTTCTTCTCTGGTTGCTGTGGCTAAAACTTCCAAAACTGTGTTGAATAATAGTGGTGAGAGTGGACTTCCTTATCTTGGTCCTGATCTTAGTGGAAATGGTTTCAGTTTTTCACCATTAAGAACAATGTTGGCTATGGGTTTGTCATATATGGCCTTTATTATGTTGAGGAAAGTTCCCTCTGCCTACTTTCTGGAGAGTTTTTATCATAAATGGGTGTTGAATTTTGTCAAAAGCTTTTTCTGCACCTGTTGAGATGATATATGGTTTTTATCCTTCAATTTATTAATATGGTTATCACATTGATTGATATGCATATATTGGAGAATCCTTGCATTCCTGGGATAAACCCCACTTGATCATGGTGTATGATCATTTTAATGTGCTGCTGGATTCTGTTTGCTAGTATTTTGTTGAGGATTTTCGCATCTGTGTTCATCAGTGATATTGGCCTGTAGTTTTCTTTTTTTGTGACATCTTTGTCTGGTTTTGGTATCAGGGTGATGGTGGCATCATAGAATGAGTTTGGGAGTGTTCCTCCCTCTGCTGTATTTTGGAAGAGTTTGAGAAGGATAGGCGTTAGCTCTTCTCTAAATGTTTGATAGAATTTGCCTGTGAATCCATCTGGTCCTGAGGTTTTGTTTGTTGGAAGATTTTTAATCACAGTTTCAATTTCAATGCTTGTGATTGGTCTGTTTATATTTTCTATTTCTTCTGGTTCAGTCTCGGAAGTTTGTGCTTTTCTAAGAAATTGTCCATATCTTCCAGGTTGTCCATTTTATTGGCATATAATTGCTTGTAGTAATCTCTCATGATCCTTTGTATTTCTGCAGTGTCATTTGTTGCTTCTCCTTTTTCATTTCTAATTCTGTTGATTTGAGTCTTCTCCCTTTTTTTCTTGATGAGTCTGGCTAATGGTTTATCAATTTTGTTTATCTTCTCAAAGAACCAGCTTTTAGTTTTGTTGATCTTTACTATTGTTTTCATTGTTCCTATTTCATTTATTTTTGCTCTAATCTTTATGATTTCTTTTCTTCTACTAAGTTTGGGTTTTGTTTGTTCTTCTTCCTCTAGTTCCTTTAGGTGTTAATGTTAGATTTTTTTATTTGAGATTTTTCTTGTTTCTTGAGGTAGGATTGTATTGCTATAAACTTCCCTCTTAAAACTGCTTTTGCTGCATCCCATATGTTTTGGGCCATTGTGTTTTCATTGTCATTTGTTTATAGGTATTTTTTGATTTCCTCTTTGATTTCTTCAGTGATCTCTTGGTTATTTGGTAGCGTATTGTTTAGCCTCCATGTGTTTGTATTTTTTACAGTTTGTTTCCTGTAACTGATATCTAGTCTCATAGCGTTGTGGTTGGAAAAGATACTTGATACAATTTCAATTTTCTTAAATTTACGAAGGCTTGATTTGTGACCCTAGATATGATTTATCCTGGAGAATGTTCCATGAGCACTTGAGAAGGAAGTATATTTTGTTGTTTTTGGATGGAATTAGACCTCAGTTTTTTGACCTTTGTTGTCTTTAGCTTTCTTGGCCTGGCAATGTCTTTCATTCTAGACATGTTAGGGGATATTTTAATCAAAGAGAACAGATTTTAAACAGAATTGTATAACTTTCTCTTGTTGCTATATACTTTTCCAAACCATTGCAGCACTTTCCCCACCCCCACCCCTAAGACCAGAAAATTAATAGGCCACCTTTATTTTAAGACAGAAGAAAAGGGTCTTGCCCATGCATCTTATATTTATTTATTTTTTTGGTAACCCCAAGTTAGCTATTGGGTTTGGCCTAGACCTGTGCTCTCCAACACGGTGACCACTAGTCACACATGGCTATTTAAATTAATTTAAATTAAATAAAATGTAAAATTTAGTTTCTGAGTCACACTAGCCACACTTGTGATCTATGGCTACATATACAATTGGCTGCTGCTTTGGACAGTGCTGGACTGAACTGTAACATAGGGGATGACTGTATCTCATTCATCTTGGTGTCTTCAAAACCTAAAACACTGCCTGGTACATAGGAGGCCCTAACTAGACACTTCTTGATCTAGATCATGCTTCTCTTTCGCATAGCTCAAGAAAAAGAAGTGCATAAAATAAAGCATGTGAACATGGCAAATTATGACTATGTAGGTGTCTCAGAGACTGATCTGTAATTTGATTTGCTCCTTACCCATATTTGAAATGAGATCATTTGTAAGATATAATTCTGTTTTTCACACAACTAAACAAATATAGCTCATTTTGTGCACTGAATGTACCAAAATGTGTATTATTTAAATTTGTAAATCAACAATTGTATTAAATGTGAGAGAGAGGCACATTTAATGAAAGATTTCCTACTGTGAATATTTTTCAAAAGTGAAAATTCCTTTCCCAAAGTGAGTAGTCACTCTGATTTATCTTTAAGAACACCTTTATATGAAAATCAGAATTTGCACTGAATTGAGAATTAGGCAAACAAAAATAGTTGTCTTTAAACGTGCTATCATAAGTATCCAATGTTGAAAACTTTGTAGGATAAAGTTACTATTATTACTAATTATAAATAACCAGCACTGTGTAGCCCTTTCCAATGTATAAAGCAGTTTCACATACTTTGCCTCATTTGATTCTCACAGAAACCTTATGAGGTAGGGTAGGTCCTTTCTGCCTCCATTTGTTAGATGAAGTTTGGAAAGACTAATCTTTTGTCTCTAAATTCTCATCATCTTTTCTTTCTTTTTTTTTTTTAATATTTATTTATTTATTTGGTTGCGTGGGGTCTTAGTTGCGGCAGTCGGGCTCCTTAGTTGTGGTTCCTGGGCTCCTTAGTTGTGGCATGCGAACTCTTAGTTGCAGCATGCATGCGGGATCTCTAGTTCCCTGACCGGGGATTGAACCTGGGCCCCTGCATTGGGAGCGCAGAGTCTTATTCACTGTGCCACCAGGGAAGTCCCCCCATCATCTTTTCATTATACCAATGAGGACATATGAACTATCCATGGTGATTAGATTGGAAATGGAACTTTTAATTTTTTTGCTCTATTTGGATGGAACTACTTTGCTGGAAATATAATTTTTAAAGCAACATGTAATTTGTGTGAACTAAAACTATTGTTTTACACATCTGAAAAAATATATATATTTAATATGTATCTCAACACTTGTTCAGAGAAGGCCTTCGATAAATATTTGCTAAATAAATCAATGAAAAATGAGTGGTCTTGAAAACATATTGAGCAGATTATATCAGTCAAAGTTTGGTTGCAGAGAACAGAATATACTCCAGTTAGTTTTAGCAGGAAGTATTAATACACTTGAAGAGAATAATTGAGAATATTAATGGAACAATTCTCAAAACCACACCTCAGAACTAAGATACCAAAAGAGCTGTGCTCTTCCTCATTGAGAACCTGACATCTTCAGAACTACGACACCACAGCCACTGTCTGGAAGCTACCAGAATCAAGAAGCTGCCACTTCCACAGCCAGCTCCAGAGTCACACCTTACCAACTGTAATCTGAATCAGCAAAATGGATGCACCACCCATGCTTCTTGATGTTCACAAAGCTAATGACTGAACAATGAGAACTCTGTTATCTCTGATACAGAAGAAAAAATTTTCTCCACAGCTATGCCTATCAGAGAAACAGACTTCCAGATCTTACACGAAAGTGTTTGTTTGTTGAAACCTACATACTTCCATAAAACTAGCTGCAACAGAGTCTGGAGAATGTGATTTTTGGCTTACCAGTCCTCTGCCCTACAGGAAGCATACTTGAAGCTTGAAGGAGGATGAAATGGCTGTTAGGTGCAAGCCTGTTTATGTTCCATACTCACCTAAAAAAAACGAATGTTTGGTTTAAGTAGACCACGCATTTTGTGCTGCACATTTATAGAACACTGAAATTATACACATATGTAATATATGTATATATAATTTATATATATATAAAGCTCCATGATGACAGAAAAATTGTATGATCAAATCTCAGATCCCAGGCAGGCCATTTTAGCACAACTTCTTGCAAGGGAAAAAACATTTTAATGATTGGCTATTTTGCCTCCCATCTATCTAGTATTATTACCCACTATTTTCTAGATCGGTACTCTCAAACTTTAATGTGCACACAAATCACCTGGGAATCTTATGATAATGCAGATTCTGATTCAGTAAATTGGAATAGAGCCTGTGATTCTGCATTTCTAACAAGCTCCCAGGTGATGCTGATGCTGCTGATGTGAAGACCACATTTTGAATAGCATTTTATAAGCCCTCTCCAACCAGGTTGCCCAATGAATGGAGTATGCTGAGATAATGATTCCCTTCAACACTTGGGGCAGTTAGGTTAGGCCAGGTGCAGGCAGAGCCTCCAGACCAGATGGCTCCAGCTTACATCAGTGTGCAATATTAATATTTTCTACCTGTGCTGTGATGTGGGAAGCATTTGAATAAATGTTTGAATAAATATGTCCATTATTGAGTCTTGGTCAAGTATTGGCCAGTATATATGCTCTTTGTGGAATCTTTTATTAGTCACAGATTTTTTTTTAATATTAAGTATTCTTTCAACAAATTAAGAGAAGTAAAAATAGAAATAATCAACTTACATATCACCAAATTAACTGTTGTAATAATTTTTTTTTATTGAAGTATAGTTGATTTACATCTTGTAATAAAGATGTACAGTGAGAAAAGAAAGTACTAATACAGTATGTTATCTCATTCTGAAAGCAAATCTTAAGATGGCTTCAGCTGTTCTGCCAATGACACCAGAATGACCATAGGAAGGGAGAAGAAAGTCAATCTGCTTGATTGTTTCCATAGTGCAATGCTTTTGAAAAGCAAAGTGAAAAGAAGTGAAAATTTACAAAAATGGTATTTAGAAATGTTTCTGCATAAATACCAATGTGTACCTGTACAATTCAGACATCTTAATAGACAGATAGATAGATACATGTGTGTTTGTGTATAAATATATGTTTGGGAGGGTTGTGGGGTTTTTTTGGTTTTGGTTTTGTTTTGTTTTTTTTTTTTGGTTTTGTCCTGGAAACAGTAAGACAAACTCAAGTCATTTTAAACTAGGTAAGGCAACAGTTCTACCTAATCAAATTGAGTTCTTTTCACAAGTGGTAACATTTCGACCACTCCTTAAACCCCTTTTATACCCCCATTTCTCAATACTATCAACCAGCTGGAGGTGGAATACCAAGGGGGTAATTGTCAGGTGAGCAAAGAAGAGAATTTTGTAACCACAGCCTTACATGGAGAGCAGTCTTGTATGTACTATGGTGTGGGGTTCTGAATGGTCATGGCACCTTGGGTATTGTATGTCAAGGGAAGGAGGGCAAGGAAAGCTAAGATCACCAGAGATAAATTTCACCTACTTCACAACTTTAAAAGATTAACTCTGCCAGGTGTTGTAGTGGAGAAGGAAGATTGGATTGCCAGTGACCTCTAGACTATCATGCCCCAGTCTTAGAGGTTCAAATATAAGAAAGAGAAGAATGGGTTAAAGAAGACAATCTAGAAATGAACTGTATTGAATCATCAAGTCTCTGTTGATTGCTGTTTACTTTATCTCCCGGTATTTTTGAGAGATATAGTTGTGACATGCCAGACTTCACAGTTCACTACTGGGACAGATTCAATCATTCATAATCCAGTTGACACCATTGCCACATTATGAAAGGATTCTTATTTATAGACCCCCATAGCTACAAATTAAGCTCTCTTCTGCATTTTCAGCTAGGCATACAGCCACCCAGCTAAAAACTTCATTCCCCAGCCTCCCTTGCAGTTGGCATGGCCATATAAAAAAGTTCTTGCCAATGGAATATAAGTAGAAATGACGGTGCAACTTCTGCACCATTTGCTTAAAAAGAAATTGTTTGATTTCCATGACCTTTCTTTCCCTTCCTGATCCTGGAGTACAGATGTGGCGCTGAGTTAGCTTCCACCATGTGCAACACTAAAAGGGAGAGCAGAATAGCAAGATTGAAGGCACCAGATCCTGGGATGATGTTTATGGAGCAGCGCCATCCCCATGTACTTCCAGACTGTTACATGAGAGAGATGAACTTCTATTTTGCCTGTGTGCCTTATTTGGGGACCTGTTGTTTATGGCAGTTTCTAGCCTATACCTAGCATATCCGTGTTAGTCCCTCCAGAGAGGGAAACTAGATTGCTGGAAATCCCAGTTTGAAGAAAACTTGATACATTCTTTTATACTTTTCAGCTTTTGTGCCATGTATATGTATTCCCTAGTTATTAAAAATTCATCAGTCGGGCTTCCCTGGTGGTGCAGCGGTTGAGAGTCCGCCTGCCGATGCAGGAGACACGGGTTCGTGCCCCGGTAAGGGAGGATCCCATATACCGCGGAGTGGCTAGGCCCGTGAGCCATGGCCGCTGAGCCTGCGCGTCCGGAGCCTGTTCTCCGCAACGGGAGAGGCCACAACAGTGAGAGGCCCGCGTACCGAAAAAAAAAAAAAAATTTTCAATCAGTTCATTAATTTTTAATGCCTTGTGTCCCTGTTAAATTAAACAAAAACCAATATTATCTTGCTAGAGAGTGCTTTTTCATGCTGGCTGAGAGAAAGAGCCATGTGTTTGTTCCCAGACCTTTAATATCTTGGCTTCTACCACCACCCTTAGGAGATATTTCTAGCAGAGTATGATAACAAGAGCAACAATTCTTAAATCATTAAGTATAATGATAACTATAAGAACCAATCACAACATGAATGCTAATGGTTTTATGGGAACACAAAGCACGAGGATCTTAGTTCCCCAACCAGGGATCGAACCCACGCCCCCTGCAGTGGAAGCGCGGAGTCTTAACCACTTGACCGCCAGGGAATTCCCTGTATTTATGTTTTAAAGGAGGCTAAGGCACATGGTTACCTTCCCCCCCACACACACAGACTTAAGTGAGATTTCAAAAAATAGTGGGGAACATAAAAATGGATAAAGAGAAAAAAAGAGAAAAAAAAAATGGATAAAGAGATATCCTCTGCTCCTGAAATCACATTGCCTATTCAAAAAGCTAAAACTGTCAGACATAATCCTCCCCCAGCACCATTACTTCCCACTTACAAAGTTATAGCATTAGAAACAGTAATTAAAGGCAAACTTTATTTCTCTTTAATAAGCAATTAATAATGAATGTGTTTTGCCCAAGTTAATGTTTATAAGGTCCCTATACCAAGTTTGAGCAATAAAATGATAATACCATTTATCAAAGTAATTTTACTCATGAGAATTTAAGTTTAATCCAAACTAATTTAGAAGCTGTATGTATGAAGGTGTTCATAACATTATTTACATCTGAGAGAGGGGAAATTATTAGATAAATTATGATTGTCAAATAGATAAAGTAAGGGATAATTACAAGAATCTTTTTATAAAAAAGGCTGTATTAACAAAGTTTTAAAAAGCGTTAAAAAAAAGCGTAATACAAAAAAAAGCATAATACAAATGTGTGTGTATGAGGGTTTCTTAATCTTGGCACTGTTGACATTTTGGATTGGATAATTCTTTTTTTGAGAGGGGGCTATACATTGTAGTATGTTTAGCAGCATTCTTGGCTTCTACCCACAAAATGCCAGTAGTGCACTCCTGCCCCTAGTAGGGACAATCAAAAATGTCTCCAGACATTTCCAACTGTCTGGGGGGGGGGGGGGGGGGGGGGAATCACCCGTGTTTGAGAATCCTCATTAGATGAACTACATGTATAGTGTATATTCTGTGATCACAGTTATATAAAATATATGCACGTATAGACAAAGCTGGAAGGAAATTTGGAAAAAATTTTAAAGGCTTTTTTTTTCTCTTTTTTTGGCCACGCTGTGTGACATGTGGGACCTTAGTTCCCCAACCAGGGATCGAACGCGTGCCTCCTGCAGTGGAAGCATGGAGCCCTAACCACAAGGGTTAAAATAAAATTAAGTACTGTTATGATTCACAAACTCTTCTAAGGAGTTTTAATCTTTAAAGATTATTATACATTTCATTATTAGAGATAATTTTAATCTCCCCACTATAAGCATATCATCAAAAGAAACTTTATTTAGATGGTTACAAAATCATTTTTTAAAAACCCATAAAGCCAAATTGATATGTGATTCAGATAAGGAAGAAGGACAGGATGACTCATTAGTACTGGATGTGATTCTTATTCTGCAGAATGCTTCTCGGACTTAGCCCACATTCAGAATTGCCACTGATTTCAAAGGAAAGAAACTTCATACAAGAAAAAAATGAATTCAGAATTATTTCATGACCAATCCCCATCACTGGATTTGAGTAAGAACTTATTGTACGTTTGGCTTCAATGGGAAAGTTACTGAAAACATTTTGACAATGCCCAATTTTGTTAAAAATGTATTAGGGATTACAGCATCTAACATTTGCAGAATACTTTACAGCATTCATTCTCTCATTTAATGGAAGTGAGCACAAGAAATAGAACTTCAGTTATGAACATGTGCTGAGTAACACAGCTAGTATAGAATATAGGACAAAGAAGAGTGTAGGCTACTCTACCACTGTAGGATTAGGAAAGAATAAAACCATTGTCAACATTTATATAGCCATTCTGTCCCCTGATCCATTAGTACAGATGATTAAAAGCTATTTTTAAAAGTTTTGATGACATTATTCTGAAAAGCAATCTATCTGAGAAGCAGGTGATCCAGTGGACCTACACTTCGTCAGAGAGGGCAATGGTTGACATACACCGTCTCCTGTTCTGGGGCCTATATTTGAATCTGTAAACTAATACAGGGGTGTTGACTCAGAGAGTTATGCCTGGAGGCTTGGGGGATTTGAAAGCTGAGGAAGAAAGGAAAAGAGAGTTGACTGTGAACAAGAATCTAGAAAGAGTAGAGTGGAAGGCACGGCGTCTCACCCCTCCACCTCTACTCCACCCTGAGCCACTAGGTCCCTCAAAGAAGAGTCTGAATCCGAAACTGGAGAAACTTTCTCATGATATTTTGTCAGACTTGGCATGTACAGTATTATTTTGAGACCCAAGTAATAAAGAACAGAGTGGGCTGGGGGTATTGTCTTCATTTCTGAATGGGTGGAGCAAAGCAAGTACAGCAGGTGCTATGTAGGATCCTGCAGCAGAAAAGCAGAATTTACCTGGCGGGTCCCAGCAACAGGGTTGGTGCCTTCTTCAAACAGATTTTGAACAAAGGACTCCTACCAGGACATTGGGCCACCACAGGAACATGAGCAGGTTTGTTCCTAAGCACATGCAAGAAACCCGCTCACAGCTCCTGAATTAACTGGTGAAGATTTTGGGAGCAGAAGTTATTGAAGTCTTTTAGGTGGGCATGTATTGTTGATGTGACTTTTTCGGTTCCCACGGGCTAACTAGGTGTGAGAACATTCAGACTACATCTGATTTACAAAAAAATACCTTGCCGTTTCCCAGTTTTATATTTCCTAGGCAGTCCTCACTTTATAAAATAAATATTTCAGAAAAGTTGACTATTTTCTGATAGGTAAAACTCTATTTTCTCATAGGTGGCCATTTTTAGGTATCATTTACATACAAGGAACCATTATATTCTTTTCTAGTCAGGAAAAAATTGGATTAAACACTTGATAAAGAAGAGCATTGAGGGACTCCCTCAATGTGTGGTGGCACAATGGATAAGACTCCACGCTCCCAATGCAGGGGCCCCAGGTTTGATCCCTGGTCAGAGAACTAGATCCCACATGCATGCTGCAACTAAGAATTCACATGCCACAACTAAGGAGTCCTGGAGCCGCAGCTAAGGAGCCCACCTGCCACAACTAAGACCAAATAAATAAATAAATATTTTTTTAAAAAAAGAAGAGCTTTTTTTTTTATATATCCTCAAGGTTTTCATTCATTAATTAATTAATTTTTGGCTGTGTTGGGTCTTCATTGCTGCGTGCAGACTTTCTCTAGTTGAGAAGGTGAGCGGGGGCTACTCTTCATTGCAGCGTGCGGGTTTCTCATCGCAGTGGCTTCTCTTTGTTGCAGAGTACAAGCTCTAGGAGCGTGGGCTTCAGTAGTTTTGGCTCGCAGGCTCTAGAGCGCAGGCTCGGTAGTTGTGGCTCACGGGCTTAGTTGCTCCGCGGCATGTGGGACCTTCCCGGACCAGGGCTCAATCCCGTGTCCCCTGCATTGGCAGGAGGATTCTTTTTTATAAATTTATTTATTTTATTTTACTTTTATTTTTTTATTTTTTTGGCTGTGTTGGGTCTTCGTTGATTGTGCGGGCTTTCTCTAGCTGCGGTGAGTGGGGGCTACTCTTCGTTGCAGTTTGTGGGCTTCTCATTGCAGTGGCTTCTCTTGTTGCAGAGCACGGGCTCTAGGTGCACAGGCTTCAGTAGTTGTGGCTTACGGGCTCTAGAGCGCAGGCTCAGTAGTTGTGATACATGGGATTAGTTGTTCCGCGGCATGTGGGACCTTCCCGGACCAGGGCTTGAATCCGTGTCCCCTGCATTGGCAGGCGGATTCCTAACCACTGTGCCACCAGGGAAGCCCTGGTAGGAGGATTCTTAACCACTGTGCCACCAGGGAAGTCCCCAAAGAAGAGCATTAAGATGAAGGCTAGGTTGGAGAAGTCTGGGCATTGTCAAGCCAACAGGGACACATCCCCTACTCTGAAATTATTCCTCCACTGTTAGCCACTGCCATGGTCTCCATGTTCACAGCTACCAATTTTTTAAGCTCATACTTATGAAGCCTAAAAAATGAGGCTATCGCATCATTTCTGCAGGTACTATGATTGTCACACTAAATTAAAATTTACTTAATATTACTTAGAACAAGTTAATTCCCTATTCATTCTAAAAGCTTGGAACGTTTTATATCAAATGATGTAATCTCTGTTAGGGACCACACTGGCTAGCACACATGATAAGATTCTACTCCATCAGTGACAAATGAACCTCTAAGGGACATATCTTGTTTTTAACAGTCTGGTTCCTCCCCCTTATAATAGAGCTCTTCTTTCCTGTAAGGAACCTAATCCGGGTATCTTAGTTGGGGCTGAACTTTCCCTCAGGGCCACATGATCATCATCACAAGAGCACACTAGTGGCCAGACCAGGCCAACCAGAGTTCCCCATTTCCTTAGTGTCATTGCTTGTTTCATAGATGTGTAGGTGACCTAGCAGAACATACCAGAATCACCTTCAGGAGTTTATTGTCAGAGCTACTGGGAAAGGCTGCTCTTTTTGCTGGATTTGCTAAGCTGGGAGCATAAGCATCTGGGACTTGAGAAACCCAGAATGAAACTGCAAGAGAGAAGGAGAGCTAGGAGATAGGGAAACAGCCCTGATGACATCATTTGAG